TCAGCAAATGATCATAGAACTAAAGACGAAATGACGATGACAAGCCTTTGTATTACAAAAGCGCGGTAGGTGCAAGAGTAGTCAGCAGACGTTTATGTGTTCTCGACTAAGCCTGCATATCCCTTTGCGTAGTGAGATATACAAACGTGTCAGGACTGCAACATGCACGTACTGTACACTTTATTTGAAACACAGAGATATATCGGTTGTTTATTATAAGACTTTATCCAGACCTAATTATATACATCTCACCCACCTATATCAGCAGATGAGCCCCTTCTCAGATCTTTGCGTGGTCCTGCCATCGTTCAATCTTCTTATACAGTGCCGCTATGGTTCACCATCTCACAGGGAAGCGAATGTTGGGCCGCGAATGCGATAAGATGGAATGAACTGTATAGTATCCAGGGGCAAGAGGCGGGGGTATGTTCGTGGTATAACCCTTTGTGTATGTCGTACCACGGATTATATGTGCACACAATGCGGGTGTAGCTATGTAGCTATACAGTAACGAATAGGTTATTGTAAGCGATGTGTAGGTTCGGTGACAGTTTTTAAATACTATTTTTATGTAAATACTGACGACTGATGACAACGCTGATATCAAGAGACCTAAAAAACAAGGTCTCTTGGCTGATATTGTTGAACGGTGTAAGTTATTTTATTATAAATTTTATAAAACGGATAGACTATCGTGTGTAAAGTTACGTTTCGATTGGTTTAAACATCAGTTGCGATACGATTGTAGGGTTTTAAGCCAATCTAATTCCGGGTTGTAGGGTTTAGGGTTCATTGCAGATTGTAGGGTTTTAAGTTTGATTCCATCCAATAGCTGTGTATTATGTACATAAACATGTACATTTTGTATTTGTTGCACAAGAAAAAGGAATTCAGTACGTATGACGGAAGTATGTATTGTCGCATATTAAAATGCAAAATAATACACGCCGCACTGACAGCATATTCGAAAGAGAGACAATCAGCTGACGTCTATTCCATGCACATTGTGACGCGCTTGTACGTTGTAAAGCACAACATATAGCTTCAAAAGGGACCGTTTACCTATTCTGACAGCACAAGTGGAACATCACGATGGCTACATTCATTTCATTATTGTTTATCATCTTGATTCCAGCGCATGTAAAGTGCACAGCGATCCCGACAAATACAATGCCCATTTCTATGTAGTATCCGTGTACATCGCACATTATTCGTTTAACGGGAGCACGCTACCTACTCAAAATTCAAATCAATGAAGACTTCGGGTATATGGAACGCAGCTAGATCTTTCATAGTAGGGCTGTAGGGTCGCTTGCATAGTCGAAGCCGAAAATACTAATATTCCAACTATTCCCGGCTTGTGGTATTTCCTCAGATACATTGAAAGTATTCAAACGGAAGAAAATGTGCGACTATAGTTACCTTCATCCATATCAACTTTCAATTCGGCACCGGCAGTATACTTCCATTTTTTGTAAATTGCATTAGTGTACAGCCACTCCGCATTGGGTACGAGTTTTAATTAACGTAGAGGGTGTTAAAGTGTAAGTGACAAAACTATTCTTATCTATGACGAGCGAAAGACGAGAATTGCTTTCGGTTTTTTGAAACAATCAGCGTATGTTCTTATCTATACAAAAAGATCATGCCTTGTATCTATATCATCACATCTCGACATTCTTTATAGTTTTAATATAAAAGATGAACACAGTCGGAGATGTAGAACAGGTAGAGTGAATGGAAGAAATTTGGAGTAGGAGAAGTACGCTTTCTTGGCTGTATACCATAGTGACGATCTGTGGCTTTTCTATAGAAATCAACTAAACATATTCTTCAATTAATTTACACTATCTCGTACATAGCAGTATTTGCATGTTTTTTTTATACAATCTGCATGTCATTAGAGTAGTAAGGAAATAAATGAAACATCAGCAGGCATAAGCACAACACTATAATTACCTTGGTCTACGGTGTATGATAAAACAACATTCTCATGCCATCACAAAGTATATTTATACTGGGGTTGGTATTGTTCTCTTCCGTTTGAGATAGAAATAAATTCATCGAACGTACGTATGCAGCTCGGACCGTGCCTGCTTATGCTTGTGGCCATATATATTATAAGACCCTACAAAAAACTAATATTGTAGAATGTATATCAGCTTAATTTCAACTATAGATTTGTCATGACTGCGTGTGAGTGTTTACGTCCAGTGGTGAACGATGATGGACTGCAATGGCACAGTTAGTAATGTACATACAGCTCGTTCTGATTCTACTATGATTACCTGGGTCTCTTTGGGAATGGTAGATGCTTTTGTAAGACTTCCCAGTTATGTGTAGCCAACTTATCGACAGGTGCTATAACAACAAATAAACAAATTCAAACGAAATGGGTATTCTTATTGACATAAATGTGCGAACTTCTATGCCCATGTGCAAATGAAATAATTCACCTCATCGATATATAGATGCAAACTCGTGCGCCAGCGTTGTTAATAGTGCAAGACTGTAAGGTTTACTCGTAACCGTACATGTCTGGACACCGACTTCCTATGTAGTTCCTACTTTGAAGCAACATTTGCCATGTGGACTATCACTGATAATTAGGAAACAACAGTCAATTGGTGGAGAAGCTCTACGCGCGGAGTCGGTGCCGTGCGCACTTTTATGATAAAGGTAAAATGCCACAGATGGTGTTTTGAATTGCAATTATCACAATTTTGTACATCTGCGCACAACTATTTAAATATAATGGCTAATGTATCACATAGTTATCCAAAGCAATGTATGCAGTTGTAGTATCTTGCTAATACTTATACGTCTACCCTTCTTGTTAAATCCATTCTCCGATCAGATTGTATAGTTGTAGGTATGTTAAGAATTAAGTCGTCGTGTTGGTTCGAACGCTCACAATATCAGTCGAGTGACCCTATTTTTAACGCCACGTTCGAATGTCTTTTACCCGGACTGCTGCAATCTAAGACGGGCCCACAACTACACTCATGCTGTTTATGATATTATACATTTCTTGATATAGCATGGTCAATTCACTTGATGGGCATCTAGTTCTTCTCTCGAGTGTACATCGTGATTCTTAATCGCGTGGATTATCCTCTTGTTTACCACTGACTTCGGATCACTGGCGGTCTATTGGTATCCATATGCATGAGAAGAATAGAAGGCCACGGTATACACATAACTTATCGAGATATGCATCCATCCGTCTTCTCAGAAGTTTCTTAGTAGTGTGATTGGGATTATACATCAGTGTTCGTCTGCCAATGCATCATATCGCGCGCATTCAGTCTGCGCTATGCGCGTATGTGCAAGGTGCCACTTTGCGCTGTTTAAAAGGCACGGTGTGGTGCTGCTATATACAGTCACGTCGCTCTACGGGTACCGTTGGCTTGTATTCTGAGGAGTTTTAAATGACCTCTAGTGTGACAGATTAAATTCCTACACGCTTATAGGGACTTAGACGTATGTACACGTGCGAGTTCAGCGTGTAGATTAATGTGTGTACAGTGTTGTTGACCTTTTCTCAGGTACGCGACCAACATTTAGATCAGGTGATCTGTTTGGATAAGTCATGTTCGCAAACACACGCTAAAACACGCCTCAAAAAGCGTTAGCAAACATTCAATCAGCCCAGCGACGCTTGACAGGCAACCGTGCCCATACACTATCAATATCAAATAATATATCATATTAACCAGGGTTAGCTAGTCATTTTATTGCCCGAGTCCGGGCCCACCAAAGCCCAAAAAAAAATGTTTGGTGTACAAAGGTGGCCATCACAATATCGAATAGACTTAAGAGTTACTTCTTAAGCTGAAGACTTCAGCGCGTACCATCAATGACGATCTGTAGATGTGAAGTATGATATAGACTACCCATAGCCCACACGCCTCGCAGCCGTCGGTTGACTGTAATCTCTACTGTACTGTACATACCATGACTCCTATGTATTGCGATGGTCACCCGTTATAAACGGCTACCAATCGACTGGGTTTGCATATACACAGGCACTGAGTAAGATGGCCCGAAAGAAGCCGTTCAGCGGAAAGCAAAAGAAAGTACAGTTGCAAGAGAAGAAGGAGAAGCAACGCGCAAGTGCCATGTATGTGCGTGGATGTGTATGTAGGCGTGTGTGCAGAGGGTATGTGTACGTGTGTGTGTGGACTACTTTATGTGTACTTGTGTGTGTGTGTGGAGGGCTTTATGTGTACTTGTGTACGTGCATGTATATTAGACGTGAGACATCCATGTGTGTTCATGTAGTGATCACCTGTCTCTGCCCCGGTGGGTGTGAAATCACTTCTTATTTGCACACGGGCAGATGAAGAATGGCAGGCATGTGCGTAGATATGCGTTGAGTAAGGGGCATGCGTACAAATGTGTGCCTGTGCATCAGTGTGCTGTATGTTTGTGCATGAGTGGGCGCAATGTATATACATATT